CAGTATCACTCCACCCCCGTTAACATTAGGTGTCAACGATAGCCATGTGAAGCCATGAGCCTGTAAATGAGTGAAAACTGCAGAGTTCTGGCCATTAGATGTAGCTCGTCTGAGTTGGGACATTCTTTTGAACAGTGTGATGTATCAGTCACATGGAGGCAGTGCTTAAAAGCCTGAATTTTGCCTGAAACTCTCAGACTGAAGAAGTCTCTTGGAGGAGAGACGAAACGTTTCATTAGAGAAGAACCCGTCCAGAGGACCTATACAATTTTTTTCTTTTTTATCTGTACCTTTTTAAGGCCTAGGCTGCCTCCCATGATGGAGGACTGGTGACATTTCATCAGCAGCTTCTGCCATTTTCTTCCCAAACTGCTGACCAGACTGTGCAGGGCTGTTATTTCTACCAATCTCTACAAAGCGTGCTGACGTCAGGTAGTTAGCTACAGCCTCATCTTCCACTTTTTAATTTTTGTTGATGCCTGTTGAAGAGACACTTTTTTGAAAATAGGATCAAAGAAAATCACCTGAGTTTTTCTAGTGACTCTTATAGATAAGCTGCCATGAAGAACATTATTTGTTCACATCACATCGAAATGAGGATTTAGTCCAATTTGGTCAAAATGACTTCATCATATTTTCAGATTTCTGGCTTTAAAAGCTACATTTTGATACTTCATCATTAGTAGATTCAGATATTATTTGTCTTGTTGGTTACAATAATACATAAATATTTGGTCTAAATCCTAATTTTATGTAATTTTAATGAGGATTTTTATGTCATTTAAAAAAATAAACCTCAAATAGTAATTGAATATTGAGATTTTTCAGCTGGAAAGAAAGAAAAACATTTCTAGCTCACAGGGAAAATCTCAACATTTTAAGGCATTTTTTCCTCAAAATCAGGCTTTTGGTTGATAAATGCTCAAAAAAAGTACTTCAATTTTTTTTTGAATATTTCAGACAGTTCATTGAAATGACACATTGATAACACATTTGTTTGTCATATTTTGACTAAATGTAATTTTTCCAAGTGTTTTAATCAAAACACTATATCTGCCTATTTTCTCCACATACAACTTTTAGACTTAACCCTGGTTTCGATGTGACGGCTCACATTTTATCTGCCCTTCTTCCCAATTTGATAATGATTTGAAACGTTGAAGTATGTTTTTTTAAATCCAGAATAGCACTTGTTATCAAAGTGTTTTGACGCTCATCTTTGTCACCTGACACATTTAACACGCTGTCATTGGTTGAGCAGCTTTGTTTACAAAACAGATGTCCACATGGTTTTTAAATTGTTTTAATTTCCTTACTTTCTAAGACACATTA